TTTAAAGAACCTGCTTCTCTGAAGACCCTAATAGAACAAAACAAAAAAAAAGAAGAAGCCAAATTACCCATTCTTTAGACAAAAATCAAGCTGTAAGAAGTGGCCTTAATGTAGCAAATCATGAACACTGATATAATATCTACATATAGATCATATGAAAAGAAAATACAATAAGAAACCCATATAGTAGGAGTACTTATTCATAAACAAAGGGAGATCATATCAAACACCCACATATTTCTAAAGAAGAGAAGACAAATATTCAAAGCAACAATATAATAGGATAACCAGTGTCCAATTGGATGAGTGGTAAAAGTAATTATTAACACATACCATTCTTACCTTTTTTTTTCTTTTCATTTTTTTTTTTCCGATTCCCCCTCGATCCCATAGGAAAACAACCTCATAGAATATTCTTCATCCTTTCCAAGTGCTTTTCTTCCAAATCGAATTCTCCTATATCATCATCAGTTCACTTCAAAACACACAAAAATTTATCATCAATCAGTAGTATATATGATAATAGAGTTATTAATTTGAACTCTTAGTCATTAGAGGTTTAGAAATCATCACAAAGCAAATGAGAGAAGAAAACATTTAAAATGGAAGACACGATCAAGTTTAGAAAGAAATATTAAGAGAAGTTCGGGGAAAATAATCAACCGGAGAGAGGCCTGCAGCTGATCCACCAGGGCAAAACAACAGAGTCACTGTTGTGTCATAGTAAACTTGAGTACGCTCACTCTCCTCCAAAGCGTGCCTGCTCTCTGCTCTCAGCTTTGTGTACTCTGCTTCCATCCTTCTCAGCGCTACTTTTGCTTTCTTGTGGGACTTCTTCATGCGTTTCGTCTTCATCTTCATAGCTGCCGCCGTCACTTTCATGCGCTGGAGAGTGTTCATCGCTCTCTTGCATATGATCATGTACAAAAACCAAAAAAAAAAAAGAAAAAGTCAAGAAATTAACCAAGAAACTGGTAGTATTAAATCCAGAAATTAACTCCGATCGGTACCTGAAGTTGCTGCTGTCTGAAATTAACTCCGAGCGGTACCTGCAGGCGCTGTCTTCTCCACAGGTGCCGATGAGGTTCTGTTTCTGACATGGCTGATGGGTGCGTAAGATCTCTTTTCAATGGATCGAGAATTGATGTAGAGGAGCAAGAAGGGGAATTATATTCAGGCAGATGCAGCATTTATAAACGTCGAGATGGGCATATGAGTGAGAAGGAAGAAAAATTCTTTACGATACTACCACCGGGATATTCCATATTCTATCCCATATATGCCCTTAACCCTTCCATTTCCTGTCGGAAACGCGCGATTGTTTTCGATAAATCGCACGATACCCCTCGTCTTCTAGAAATCTTAGTAATGAGTTGGTTTTATTTTTTTTATTTTTTTTGATATTTTTATTTGATTTTATATAATAAAAAATATTTTTGATTATTTTATTTATATATCATGTAATTTAAATTAAAAATTATTTGTTTTGAAAAAATTACCATTAAATTAATTAAATGATTGGTAATGAGTTGGTTTTATAATTAATATTTATGAGACAAGGACAAAGATTGTAGTTCGTCAATGGGCATGTTTTTACCTTTAATTAGGTTATATTTTCATCTGCGCTTGTGCGTCATATGTTAGGGTTTTTAACATTTTTACTAATAATAGGAATTTTACTAATTGCGCATTTGAAAATGTTTTTCTCTTAAACTACTCTGAAAACTGTTTTTCTTGAAGTGTATCTATATAGGGTTTTTTTTAGTAATTTTGTTGTGGTTGTGAAAAATAAGATATAAATAATTAAAATGTAAAAATAATGGTGAAAAATCTTACAATTTTTTAATAAATTAACACGTAAATAAGATTGATTAGGAATAATAAAAATTTCATAAATAATCTTGATATTTTAAATATCAAACTATTTTAATTTATATTTCTCTTTTTATTTTATTAAATAAATAAAATTTACTAAAAAAATGTTTGCATGTTTGTGTGTCACTCTTACATGCTCTAACTCCTTTACGTACTAGTACAATAAGCCTTTTTGGGGGGTGTTAAGTGACGCCACAATTGGCTAATTAATTAGGTAATTTTGAGTTTCATGTATGCCGAGCTTAATGTATAATTTTATACTCTAGTAGGGTTTTATTAAAAACTGAAAAATTTATGAAAGGGGAATATGGGAGATCCAGTAGATTCACTTCACCATTTTTCATTATAAGTACTCTGGTAGTCCACTTAATTAATTTAACCATAATTAATTTTATTAAAAAAATCCTTTTTTTTTTTTTGTACCCACAAGGATCAATTTGGCTGATGATGACCAACAAAAGGATTTCCTCATCAGTACCGGCTCCAATTTGGTTTAGGCCAAACTGAAAATTTGAGCCTTTAATCCCCAACCCACCTCGCAAATACAAAAAATTAATTTCTCTTTTGGCTCTCTGTTCATCCAAATCCCTATCCTCCATTCTAGGATTTACTACTTCACCCTCCCCTGTCGCCCACTCCAAGCCCCTCCTATGAGTCATCCACCGTCACTGGCCATCTTCCTCCCTTCCCGTCCTTGAACCTTCCAGAGCAGGGTAACTAATCAACTTGTGCAGCGAAATGCAAACACTGATCATGATGATGATCAGATTATAATTTTTTCCTTCAAATGATTTTCATTCCCGGATACAGGTTCTTATTGAAATTTGTTTGCAGTTTACATTCATTTTCATTTGATTGAACCCTGATGAATTTGTTGATTACATTTAAATGAATTTCTCTAGAAATTGTGCTAGTATTTGATTAATATGTTGTATGACTTGAAACTGAAACGAGGAGGTCGAATTACTTGGGTAACCAAATCGAGTCTCGAAGGCAATTTGGTTCGATATCTCAATGGATAATCGTATATTTGATAGAAAACTGGTCCATTTTTAATCACTTTGGACTGACCCAACCCATCTCAATTCAATCTTCCTCACCTCTCTTATAGGCTAACAAGTGGCTCTTGCCCCGCTACGCGGTGGTTTTTTTTTTTTGAAAAGCAAAAGGATAATACTTTACTTATTAATAAATTAATGGGGTACAAGGGCTACCTAACCCATTACGAGGACCAAAATTAATCCAACCTGATCCCTCCAAAATTTCAAATCCCTTCAAACAGGGGATTTCACCGAGTTAGCTGCTTGTCCCTTATCTTTCCTCTTACTGGCACAATTAAATTTTAAGCAGCCCGCCGGGTATTGAATCCAATCTGACAGTGAAAAATAGCAGCCTCCCCTTTTACCTTTGATCAAGTTGAATGCCCTTAGCTGTACCATCTCTAGTAGTTTTCTCCTGTCAACCTCTTTTTGTTTAAAGATCTTCTCGTTCCTGGCAAGCCAAATTGTCCATGTCACCGTGAACCAGATGCACTCCCATCCAATCTTTGCTGTAGTCATTTTAGCTGCATTCGGGTGCTGTTCAAATACCTTTCTACAGTCTTTGTCTTGTACTGTTATAATGCCCCACCACTTAAAACAGTCCATCCACAAATCAGAAGCTATTTTACAGTGTATAAAGAGATGATTGGAATCCTCATTCTCCACCCCGCAGAACACACACTTGCACTCCTCAAGATTTTTCAGTATTCCCCTTTTAAAGAGATTGCTTTTTGTTGGGATCTTGTTTTGCAGTAGTTGCCATGCGAAAATTGATATCTTGGTAGGGATGAGTGATTCCAGACCATTTGTGTCACCCTTCCTGGTTGTTCCACTCCATTTCCATCTGACAATGCCTTATATGCAGATTTTGTGGTGTATCTCCCATCTTTATTATGTTTCCATTCCCACAGATCCTTTTTTCCTCTCTCGATTGTGATGTCCTGGATTTGATTCAGCAATTCTGCTTCCTGCGGCTTCTCCCAACTATACAGGTTCCTTCTCCATTGTATATTCCATTTCCAGATGCCATTGTTCCACTTTCCCATTTGATGAATCTTTTTGTCCTTTCCTGTCGAAATTAAGTAAAGTCTTGGAAATTTGTTAGAAAGACTCCCATTCCCACACCAACTGTCCCACCAGAAACTTACCTCTACTCCTTCTCCTACCTTTAGTTTTAATGATTCAATGGGAGAATTTAGTTGAGTTCTTCAAAAAGTTCAGAAAATTCATCAGATTCTTCTGCTACCCAAATTGTCAGCCTGCAGAAGCAAACAATTAAAACTGTCTAAGAAGTAACTCTTCATATTAGACGCATCTAACTTCAGCTAAATAACTTTCTATCTCAGCAGCACACTGTTTTTGCATTTAAGATATTCATGTGATGCCCTGAGCAAACCTCAAACCAAGTCATCTAAAATCAACAATGAACAGGGGCTCCTTCCATG